ATATATAGATATATATACACATATATATACATATATACACATGTATATATACATGTACATATACACACATATACATATGTATATATACACATATGTGTATATATATACACATATGTGTATATATATGTGTATATATATATATTTTTTTTTTAAAAAGAAAAAAATACTGGGGAGGGATAACATGGAGAGAAATGCCAGATATAGGTGACAGGGAGGAAGGCGGCAAACCACACTGCCAAGTATGTACCTATGCAACAATTCTGCATCTTCTTCACATGTACCCCAAAACCTAAAATGCAATTAAAGAAAAAAAATATATATATATATAGTAAATGATATTCACATGATCCTAACTGGTCATGATAGCTTTCATTTGAAAAAGAAAGTGAGAGGAGATTCAATTCAGCAATGACTGAGAACTTACTCTGAGCCAGGTGGGCTGGGCTTTTGGGATGGGAGTCAGGGAACAGGTGAGGCCCGACACCAAGGCTGCTGGAGCTCACATCTAGTGGAGAGGCCAGGCTTACACAGCGCTCCGCAGCGCAATAAATAGCTAAAGGGAGACCAAGGGGGGATCACAGACACTATAACAAAGGGATTTAACCCAGTCCGAGGGGTCAGTGAAAGCAACTCTGAGGAAGAGAGATGTGAAATATAATCACCCTTCTTACAGAGGTGAGTGGATTTTTATTTAGTGAAGGATTGTGGAAGCAAGACTATTCCAGTGCCTCACCTCCATCACTAGCATTTCCACCCATCCAAGTGCAAAAGTCAGCAACCCAAGCCAGGCACGGTTGTGCACACCTGTATCCCAGCTACCTCTGAAGGCTGAGGTGGGAGGATCACTTGAGGCCAGGAGCTTGAGACCAGCCTGAGTGATATAGCAAGACTCCATCTCTAAAAATAAAGTCAAAAACCCAGGAAACTTTCTGTGGTAGACTTAATTTGGCATCCCCTAATATTCATGCCTTTGTGTAGTCCCCTTTCTAATTGGGGCTGGCCTTTGATCTATAACCAATAGAATGTGGCAAAACTGGCAGCTTCCATTTTTGTACTTGGAGGGAAGCCAGCTACCACATAAATTCAACTACCCTGAGACCACTCCACTAACCAAAGGAGAAACCATGCAGAAGAGAACCAAGCAGCCAAACTGACAGCAACAACTGAGGACCCAAACGTATAATTCAAGTTGAGCCATTTGTGCTACCCCAGATGATGGGCAGAGCAGAAATGTGCTGCCCCACAAAGTCCTGCTCAGACTGCAGAATTGTGAGCAAATAATAAAATGATTGCTGCCATTTTATTGCAGGTGTGGTGGCTCATGCCTGTAATCCCAACACTTTAGATGCTAAGGCAGATGGCTTCAGCCCAGGAGTTCAAGACGAGCCTGGGCAACATGGTGAAACCCCGTCTCTACTGAAAAATACAAAAATTAGCTAAATGCCTATAGTCCCAGCTACTGGGGAGGTTGAGGTGGGGGGATTGCTTGAGGCTGGGAGGCGGAGGTTGCACTGAGCTAAGATTGCGCCACTGCACTCCAGCCTGGGCGACAGAGTAGGACTCTGTCAAAAACAAAAAGAGTGTTGTTTTAAGCCGTTACATTATATGGTGGTTTCTAGCAAGAGACAACCAAAACACCTCTTCCATGTCCCCACATCATCTCTCTGTTAAGCCCTATCAATTTTACCTCCAGAACATCCTAAACCTTTCATCTGTGACACCATCTGACTCTCAAACTACCATCCACTTTCACTGCAGTAGCCTTCTCAGTAAAAGGAGTCTCTGTGCACCTACACAGCTCTGCTCCCATCTGTATACCTCACTGCAACCAGAGAGACCTTTCCAAGCATAAACTGGATCACGTCATCCTCCTGCTTAAAATATTTCAGTAGCTTTCTTTTGTCCCTAAAATAAAAATCATCAAAGTCCTTAGCATGGCCTACCTTGCTTAGCAAGGCTCTGCCAAGTTCCTGGTCTTTAACCACTCCCCAAGCCCCCTCTTGCCCTATAAATCTTTTTCTTTTATGCCATACCAGTCCTTAGTTACTACACTCTACCAACCTCTTTTGCCCCAGGGACTTTGTGTATACTCTTCCCTCTTTCTGCTATCCCTACCCAGTCACCTGCCCCTACCCTCTTTGCTAAAGTGCTTCCTGGTTATCTTAATAGGTTTCAGATGGAACATCACTGCCTCAGAGACGTTTTCCCTTGCACAGAAGTTTAGTTCCACCCGGCTAAATTGCCCTTTAGATTCACCTGGTTGTTTGATTATTGTCTGACTCTTCCCACTAGACTAAGTTCCTGTCTGGTTTTACCTGAAATGAACCTTGAAGGGAGTGGTGTGCCATCTGTCGTAAGGATTTGCTCTAGAAGTGCAGCCCAAATTCTTTGACACTACTCCCATTGAAAGGTGATGGGGGGCAGGATCTGTGTCCCCTCCCCTGGAATCTGGACTCTGTGACTCCTTGACCGATAGAACACAGTAAAAATGAGCTGGGCACAGTGGCTCACACCTGTAATCCCAGCACTTTGGGAGGCCGAGGTGGGTAGATCACAAGGTCAGGAGTTCGAGACCATCCTGGCCAACATGGTGAAACCCCCATCTCTACTAAAAATACAAAAATTAGCCAAGCATGGTGGCAGGTCCCTGTAATCCCAGCTACTTGCGAGGCTGAGGCAGGAGAGTCGCTTGATCTGGGGAGGTGGAGGTTGCAGTGAGCCAAGACTGTGCCATTGCACTCCATCCCGGGTGATAGAGCGAGACTCCATCTCAAAAAGAAAAAAAAACAAAAACAAAAAAATAGCAAAATGACACTATGCCAGGTATCAGGCCCAGGCATTAAGAAACTGGCATCTTCCATTTTCTGTCACTTTATTTATTTATTTTTTTTGGAGATGGAGTCTCACTCTATCACCAGGCTGGAGTCCAGTGGCGCAGCTCGGCTCACCGCAACCTCCGCCTCCTGGGTTCAGGCAATTCTCCTGCCTCAACCTCCTGAGTAGCTGGGATTACAGGCACGCACCACCATGCCCAGCTAATTTTTTGTATTTTTAGTAGAGACGGGGTTTCACCATGTTGACCAGGATGGTCTCGATCTCTTGACCTCGTGATCCACCCGCCTCGGCCTCCCAAAGTGCTGGGATTACAGGCTTGAGCCACCGGCACCCGGCCTTCTGTCACTTTAAATGCTTTCTCTTTAACCCAATCTCCATGCTCTCGGAAAGCCCGGGCAGCCCATGGAGAAAAACCAAGACCCTTGGTCCTCAGCCCTAGCAGAGCTCCCAGCTGACAGCACCAACTTGCCAGTCATGTGAGTGAGCCATGTTGGAAGTAGAACAACTAACCCACCATTGAACCATCCCAGCTCACACTGCATGGAGCAGAGATAAGCTTTCACCATTGAACCTTGCCAAATTGCAGAATCGTGAACAAAATAATTTTTTTCAACGACTTAAAAAAAATTGGGGGAGGTGGTTTATTATGCAATGGATAACCAGAACATCAGCCAAAATGACAAGCCTGTGCAGAAAGGCAGCCCTTCCTAGGTAGGATCACAGAGCTGTTTGTGATGTCATGTCATCCTGAGTCTCACTGAGTCCTGGTTGGCCAGGAGCCCAAAGTGCCTTTCAACATGTAGAGTAGGAGTCTGTAGTAGTGCCCAACGAGGGTGACCACCCCTCATGTCCATGCTAGGAAGCAGGTGCAGACCTGGATCCACGGTTCTGTCTTGCTTATAACCTTCCACCCCCAGGTGGCTGCTGGAGCCTACTGCTCTCCAGAGTTTTGCCCCAGATACGCAGAGAGCAGCCTGTTCCAGCTGGTGAAGGTGGATGTTGGATACCAAGGGGCATCAGGCAGTGCCCACGAAAGACCCTAGGGAGGGAATGCAGTTCGTGGGGAAGGCTCAGGGATCACTGCCCCAGAGGAATGTGCAGCTTTGTGCAGGGTGATTCAGGTGAACATTCACGTTTGGTACACAGAGCTCTGAGAGGGGTCTGTGCTGAGGCACACACAACCTGCACAGTGCCCTCTAGGCACACACTCTCTAGTACAGTAGCCAGTAGCCACCCCTGGCCATTTAAATTTAAACTAAAAATTTTAAAATGTTAAAGAGCTACGATTGGCCGGGCGCAGTGGCTCACGCCCGTAATCCCAGCACTTTGGGAGGCCGAGGCGGGTGGATCACGAGGTCAAGAGATCGAGACCATCCTCGTCAACATAGTAAAACCCCGTCTCTACTAAAAATACAAAAAATCAGCTGGGCATGGTGGCACGTGCCTGTAATCCCAGCTACTCAGGAGGCTGAGGCAGGAGAATTGCCTGAACCCAGGAGGCGGAGGTTGCGGTGAGCCGAGATCGCGCCATTGCA